TGACGCGCACTGACGCGCGCACCAGTTTTTTGCAACATCCACCATCGACATGAGAACCCTCTGATAAAACTCCTTCATAGGGGTTTATGCCGCTCAATAGAGAACACCATAAAAGCAAGCGACATCCAAACCAAACCTAGGTTGGGTAAGAAATTTGGCTATTATTGCTACTTTGGCCGCCAATTGTTTTTGAACATTCCGGACCCCTCCAAACACAGCAGATCCAGAAAATTTCCTCAAACATAACTCATGAAAACGTGTCCTTTGTGTAAAGCGGGTCCAACATGGTTTGTCGATTTTATTACTTCACGCGAGATCCTTGTGCCAGGCAAGCACCAGAAGCACACAGATGCCAGGCAACTTGTACCACAAGAGGCAGTATTGATCTTAGCATACGCTGCCCTAACACCAACTACCATCAACCCTCCGATTGAAAACTTACCGGCCATCCACTCCATGATAGAAGCACACATTGTGGCCATCCGATGTCACAATGCAAGACTTAAACTGGCTGAGGGATGAACTTTCTCATCTGCCATTGCATTGTATTGGATGATCGCGTCTGCGTTGCCATCCTGCACACGAAGTTTCCCGCGAGCATTTCCGCAAACGACCCCTGAGACGCCCTCTCATTTCGGCCTGATCCATGTTCACCTCCTGCCCAAGGATGTGCTAGGAGAGTGCTTTTCACTTCACTGGCTCGACTAGACAAAGATAATGTCCCAGAATTCCCCAAAGGTATGCTGTTTACGGGAACTGCATGAAGGGGAACGATCTTTTGTGGTAGTATGGTCACACACGAATGGAAACCATGGCGTCAGGCCTCAATGGAGCTGTCACCATGACCTTCAAACTCTAGGGCAACAGGGCTTCACTGAATTCAGACGTTGTTTTTGACTGCTCCAGCTTGATGGATGATGACTGATGGAAACAAATCGTAGCTTCCCAAAAGAGACCCCAACATAGACCCCAAACTACTATAACCCTTATAATTCTGGGAAACAGGTATCCCCTGATTTGGGGGAAGATCCTAAATGGACTTCCAAGGGCAAGGACCTCGCGATCTGCTGGACCCAAGGCTCTGGTCTGCCTGGGTCAGGTACCATGAAAGCAGATTGTAGGATGGGGGCCTATACTTTCAAGATGCCTCGTGAGAGGAATCCACTCGTGGTAGAGCCTGGATCCAAGTGCAGGCAAACCTGTGTCTTAAGAATCAACCCCAAACCCTAAGTAGCAGTTTCCATTTTCTTTTCCATTTTCCCAATACAACCCGAAGATAACCCCAATATACCATAGTGGTTTCCATTTTCTTTTCCATTATCTCTATATACCTGAATCTTAAGAATCTTGCGTTCAGACCACTTCAGGCGGCCTGAGGAGGCTGGAAAGGCGCAGGCTTCGGCAAGGTCTTTTGGCCTACGCCCGGCGCCTTGGAATTGCGGAGTAGGGAATATAGTAATATAGTATATAGGGATTAGATAGGAATATATTCAGTTATTACTTATTCCCTACTAACCACCGGTGAGTCTAGACATGCAAAAAACTGTTTACAAACGTAAAGCGAAGGGAACAAGCTTGTAAGCGTCACGCCATGAACAGCAAATCCAACACATCGGACTTCCACTCCTTTGAGGTCGCTAGCGTTGCAGACACTGTGGCCCTCTAGATGCCCGCGGCCTCGAGGTTGTCCACAGGTGGCAGGCTGCCATCGCTGACTCCTTGCGGCTCAACTCTGTGTCGGGAGCAGTTAATTATGCGGCATATTCGGTCAGATCTCATGGATTAAAACAACTAGAGGGAATTCTGCCGAGCTCTTGGTCTAATTACGGCTGACCAAGAGATTGTTGAAGAAAAGGCTTCTGGCGAGCCTGCGGTGAGCATTGGAGGTCCCGGCTTTCCGCCTTTGCGCGCAATCAGTGTCAAGAAAGCTCTAACAGCCAGCCAGTGTAAGCCCCAGGCCTTCCTCCGGTAAGCTAGACAGCTGATCGAACAAATGCCTCTTCTGTTGCAGCTTGAAGGTTTGTATGAACAGGAGAGGACCAGGCACAGCAGGTGCCACTTGGATCGTGCCTCGTCCACATATTCATGCTGAACCTTGGCGTTGCCACTATAAACTGATGGCATCTCATAGTACCCAAAATCATGAATGGCCCGCTGTGAGTAGGGCAGGCTGCAGATTTCGAATTGGCATGTGGCCTTTTCTGCACCATCACGCCACTACAGCAGCAGCAGTAGTCGCTAACTACCAGAAATGGCCAGAGAAAAAAAATTGGTATTGCCCGCGCGATGGTGGTTTTGTCTGTGGCTATACTGGGCCTGGCCAATAGTTGACCCACGGTCAAACTCTGCAAAATTTGTCTGACTCCGCCACAGATGCAACCCCTCTCCTCCCAAGATTCCTAACACCGGGACTTGGGGCCTCCACCGAAATTAGAACAGTAGTGTATTGCTAGAACAGGGGATTGATTAATCCGCTGGCAAGGACAATGAAGACGGCTTCTGGCCCCTCTGCTACTCCGCAACATCTTTCAGTAGACATACTAATGGTGAAGTAGCTCAAAATTTTTGGCCCGCCGATCAAGTGCTGGTGGTTTCGGGAGGGGCGCAGCTTCGGCAACGTGGTAGGTGCAGAAGTCATGAGGCCGTATGCGTTGCTTGCAGGAAAGTAGCGGGACACCGACAGCAGTGGAAGTGGGCGCTGCTGCACCTGGCATTTCCAGGACCAGGGCACGTCATCATGTGTACAGCTCTTGGAAGAATCTTATGGAATTCTTTGAAATGGTCAATCGGAATAATGTGCTGGAGGGGGCTTATTTCCGAAAGCCGCAAACCCAAAATATGGGACAGTGCGCGCACGGCCTGGATGCCTGATGCCATACTCTCGAGTCATTGTCATTGAAGAGAATTCATTCATCAAGGTTCTTCGTGCAGTGTAGGAAGTTTGGGGTTAGGAAGTTTGGGGTGCGCGATACCATCCTACACGTGTGCCTTGCGAAGCAGAAATTCTAGAACCGCAGAATGCTTCTGTTCTTAACCACCACACATATCGAATTGGACATCTCGCATCTTCAGAAATCGCAGTGACCATTTGCTTGAGCGTGCCACGGTTCTCTTGCTCCAGTTGAATTCTGATGACCCAACGCGCAAGCCCATGAATGCAACACCAAATCCAGATGTTCTGTGGCTCGGACTAGGCTCTGCCAGGCCTTGTTGTTGAGGTGCTGGAGGCGCTAAAGATTGTGGGACAGAGCTGCCTGAAACGACAATGCTAATGCCCAAGTCTCTTGATTTTTGCAGCCCTACATCTCCTGGCCTCCAGCTACGACAACTTCAGGCGGTCGCTGATTTGCCACGTTGCTCATGACTCGCAGGGTCGGGCGGACCAGGCCACAGGTCAGTGCAAGTGCTTTTGCTGTGCAGAGATATTGTACTTTGGTGATTCGCTAGCGTGGCATGTCCAATCCATATGCTTGGCATGCTTAGCTGTCCCATACTGCGCCTTCACTGCTCTTCGCTTGATGGGCTCCTTGCAACTCTCGCAGCTAACGTCAGAGGTTCGACACACCTTTGCACCAGCCTTCCAAGGACAAAGGTGCTTGCGGCTGAAGCAGACCCAATGCTCCAGGAAGGGGTCCCCCGTCAAGGTCTGCAACCTGGACGAGCTCACTTCATGCTGCATGTATCGTGCAATGGACAGCGTCATCAAGTATAGAGTTCCAACTGACCTGTTCCTGCAGCGACTCGGCCAATCTCCGATCAGCGCTACCTCACTTGCAAGTGAACAACAAAGGACTGGGTCATGCTGGCTGCGTGTGCGCAGCTCATGTTGCATGCCCACATCTCCGGAAGATATGTCTTTTTGCCAAGAAGCTCTTCGCCCTCTGAGCGCCGAGAATGAGATCTTGCACCGACTGGCAAGCAGGGAGGTGTCTACAGATTAGTTGTTGTCGGTGATGAGAGTTCCTTAGGTTAACCATTGCTCCCTTCTCAGGATTCATATTAAGTGCATAATGTATGTAATGTGTGTTACTGTCATTTACAATCAAATCAGCCGCTCCTGCTGCAAAGTGGAGTACTGCTGCTGGATCTGCTCCCCATCCTAGCAGGAAGCATGCTTCAATACGGTTGAGGGTTATTGAGGGACTCTATACGGATTATATATAAGAGTACATAGGGTAATGGAAGAGAAAATGGAATCTAAGATATCTTTCTTCAAACCCGTTTTAGCGCCTTCTTCATACTGGAGACCCACTCCTTCACAATGCTAAGCCTGAAGCCAGGCCAAATCTCGGATGCGCAAGCTACGAAGGATTCACTTAAGGTCCCTGCAGGCTGACCGCCAGGTTGGGCTCCTTTTCCTGCAAGTAACTCCAGTATGCAAATATGGTAGGTTCCAGTAAATATAGGGGTGCGCAATATAAACCCCCAAATACTATAATCCTTATTATAGGGACCCCCCTAAAACGGTACCCCTATTTTCCGGAAACCCCTATATGTGCAATATGCAAGCCATGTTCAGCGTCAAGCAAAACTGCTTCAAAGCTCCTGAATTGCTAGCTTCAGGTCAGGAAGTATGTTGCGGCTCACCTCAGAGTGGCACCACTTTGCCAGCATCACTTTTAGGGTTTAGGGGTTTGGGGTTTAGGGGTTTAAGGGTTTGGGGTTTGAAGGTTTGGGGTTTAAGGGTTTGGGTTTAGGGGTTTGGGTTTAGGGGTTTGGGTTTAGGGGTTTATCGGGTTTATGTGGAAGGTTTGAGCAGAAGGAGCTTTTTGGCTTTGCTGGCCTATGCCAGCATTTAGAGGTGTTCTGCGTGAATTGCTACTGGTGTTGGGGGGATGAGAAGGGAATATGCAGAGCGAAGATAGTAGTAATACCGTTATAGTATCTATGCATACTGCTAAGCAAAAAAAATATGTGGCACAAAACAGTTAGCAAACATAATGGCGAATCACACATAAAAATTAACGAAGAAACAGAATGTTAAGCAACAAGCAATAGCATTTATTCAGTTTAAAGAAGGAGTTATCCAATGGCTATGCCGGGCCTGCTGGGCCACCTGGGCATAGTTTGACACCGCAGCGGCAGCCTTGGAAGAGAGCTGGTTGGCCTGGTCGCAAGGAAGTTTTTTCACATGGAAAGACCTGGCAATGCCACGTGAAACTACGTTCGCAAGGAAGGAGAATTGACCCCGTATTGTGGGGTATCTGCATTGATTGCGTGGTGATTGGAAGTACGTGATCTTTTTGTATGAGAAACCTAGGTCGCTGGGAGGGAGAGTTTCCAATTTCTTGGGGGATGCGATCCTTAAACCATGCAGGCCAGGATTGCCAGATGTTGACGATGCTGTGCCCCAGCAAGGTAACCAGAAAGTCAGAAGCAGCGTTGTGAAAGAAGCTTGCCTCGTTGAAGGTCCGGCGAATATTGTCTGACAGGTCGCGGTCCTGCTTGCAAGAATTTGCAATGGTGAATTTTCGTCTAAACTTCTTAAAGGGGTATATATGTATATATGTATATGTATATATATATAGAGAGAGAGAGAGGATTACATAGGTGGCTACTTTAGGGCTTATTAAGGGGGATAGTAGGGGTTTAGACTATAGCTCATTTGCTTACAAAGAGCTTCAGCATGGGTTCAGGAATGCAGGATGTTCATTCCAGTCCGCATTGCGGAAGGCCAGACAAGCCACTTCCAGAGAGCTGGAAATAGATACCTGTGGGGTGCCAAGCAAGCATTGCAGAAATGATTCCGAATGAGCTGAATCCGGAGAAATCGAGTTGTTGCCTGAAGCTTAAGCAGCTCGTTCAGGCAGAAGATCAACTCCTTTCGGTGATGTTTTACGAGGCATCTGCGGCCACCAGGATAAGTCGGATGTCCTGATCATCTTCAGGATGTTCCCCATCCGGGAGCATAGAGACCTGTAGAATCACTGTAGAATTAGTGATTGAGGTGCCGCAGCCACTGGGCACCGAGGTCCTAGCCCCAAGGGCCGGAAACTGTGCTGAACCGTTGGATCCTGGGGTTGCAGCAGCCTCTCAGGGTGCTAGAGTGGATGGGACTGTTACGATCATGTTGACTTGCCCAGTCCCCTTCAAGAACCACCATGCCCTAGCTTGCCAGCGTCGCTTCCTTGGCTGCGGAGCCAGCGCTCTTCGTTGGCTCCTTCAGTCGGCTTCCGCAACTTTCCTGGCAGGAGCTCACATCTTCGAACAATGAAAATCAGGAGATTACACCTAGTGCCTGTGCTCTTTTTGTTCTTTTCGCCATGAGGTTGGAGGCTGGAGAAATTGGCTGCATCTACTTAGCTTCCAAACAGACTCTTCCCAGCGCTTGCGCTGCGGTGCCAGAGGCCTCAGTCGAGACTTGCGTCAGCATCCGCTGTCAGTACCCATTGCGTGCGAATGCCGGTTGGAGTTCCTTTAGCCGGGCCCTTCCCCTCAAGGCTGCTGCTCAGCTCATCATCCAGCTCGCTCTCATAGCCACGATCAAGGAAGTAAGCCTGCAGAATCCTCTGGTCAAAGCGAGGTGGAAAACCACGGCTTCGCATCAGAGTTGAAGTCGCCTCGAGGTTTGCTGGCTCCAGCAGGAAGGATGAAAACTTTATCTTGCCATCCGCCCCGACAGCAGGATCTGACAGGGTGAAGTCTTTGCAATACCCTTGTCCACGAAGATAGTCCTGGATCAGGGCTTAATGCGCGGCATTTGGGTGTCGGGTTGAGAGGTCTTGTCTGAAGGTCAGGCGAGGCTTGGGCATGCTGTGGCGTTTAAAAAACTTCGGGGTTCTCGGTACTTAGATGTATTTGGGCTTGGTCCATCAGTCGGCGTGCACCAGTTGCCAGGTCGCTAGGAGACTTCCCCTTTGAGAGAGGTGGCTGCAGTGGTTTCCACTCCCCCGACAGAGGCGAAGACATGTCCACAGGCGCCTTAGGATCATACTCATCCCCTTTGCTGATTCGTGGTCCGACAGCATCGCCAGACATGATTTTCCGGTAAAGCCTTGCTCCAACGTTGAGGCCAAAGCGCTCCTGCTCGCCTCGCCGCTTGATTCCATCTTGCAGGGTCCTGAACTGGACTTCGTTCAGGAACGTGAAGTATAGGCGATTGGAGCGCGGATCCTTCTCAAGCGCTTGCGACTGATTGAAAAGTTCTGAGAGATTGTAGGTGGCAAAGCGTTCCTTGAAGGCTGCAAAGCCTTCGCTGCGCTTCTTATTGAAGTTAGTCTGGTACAATCCTGGCTTTTCAAATGGCCCGCCCCAGTCCAGCGCAGCTTCCTGCGTAGTTCTCAGCAGAATCACTGCTGTAGCTACAGGAATCGCCGGAGGCTTTTTGAGAGTTCGAAATGTCGGCCCAGCTTCCGGAACTGTGGGAGCAGCTATTGCAGGCAGTCCGTAAAATGGTGACAGACTCAGAATCCGTCGCGATACGCCTGCTGCTTCTTTCGGGGTGCTGCAGCTTTCTTGGACAAAGCTGCACATTCGCTCACCGCGCAGCATGCATGCAATCATCAGAAACACCAGCCATCTACACCGCCTCGCACGAAACATCCTGCAACAGTCCAGGGCGCCCTAGTGTTGCTTGAAGTGCATTCTTTCCGCAGCCTAGACCTTGGACATGGCCTTGAGCCCAAAGTCTAAGAACACTTGGGAGGCTGACGTGATTTGTCAATCAATGATTGTCTTGCAAGCATCGGCAGGCGTGCAGATCTCGCAGAAACATCGCTAGAAGATGGCGGGTGGGTGACCTGCGGAACGGGTGCTGTGATGTCAGGGCTCAGGCCCCCAAGGCTGTATGCTCTGCGGGCTACATCTGAGTTCATCTAAGGCCTGGGCAATAGGCACAGGACGTGCTGGAGTCTGACACAAGATTCCGAAGAATAGCAATAACAACAAGAATAATGGTAAATACGACCGATGACAAGATAAATAACACTACTAAACATCTTGGCGCATGTATCTTGCTGCACCGCCCGAGGCTGCCTCTGGCATCAGAGCTGTGGGCATCATCTGAGGCATTGCCTGTGCTCAGCTGTTGCACCTAACTTCTGCTGATGCTCTGCTAAGGGCGCGCGCCTGCGGATGCTCAACTGGGATGCCACCTGAGCCCCAAATCCATGGTCAAAATGCGTGTTTCGCCTCTTTCCAACGGCCTCCAGCCATCCAAGGATGAACTATGCAGTCCTGGCCAAGCTTGTCGGTCCAAACTTGGAAGGAATCTATTGCGACCAGCATGTAAAAGCTCACTGCAGCTCCTCCAACTTGAGACGGTCGTTGGGGTTCACCTTCAGGAGTCCCCGGACCATGTCCTCAACAGCAGTACGCGCATGGCCGCAGAATGTCGCTCGAAACTCAACAAATCAGCAGATTGCTTTCTTGCACCTGTTGGCCACTTCTTTCTACGCATGTTTAGACGCCCTGCTTACGGTATGGTGGCCTCACAACCGCATATCAAACTGCTTGCTATGCTGTGGGACGCGGGATACCTCAGGTTCTAGCCGGACTTTGCTTCTCTCGTATCCCTGAAGCATGCCCCAAACCTGCTCTCGAGTACTGAGCCTCTTGTTGCGAGCTCTCCATGAAGGAACATGGCATTGCATTTGGCACTGGCCCCTGTGCAATGAGACACATGTACTCCCTGAACCTACGACATGTACGTATATTATGTCTTCCGTCAGAATCTTCACTTTGCCTGATTCCAGTGAAAGACCCATGAAGTTGAAAATGACCTCCTTGCAAGGAGTGTCAATATGATGCTTGCTTTTGGGATCCCCTTTGCAGTACACCCCATCATTATCCTCCTAGGCAAAGCTGCCACTTTGCAACATGTGCATGTGGGCCACTTGCAAATCATGGCTGTTCTCACCTTGCCATACCTTGCCCTGTTTACGCTGACTGCCCAACCCTGACCTTATGGCTCCACTATTGTAGCTTGTGCCTTTGCTTTAATTACAGTGCGGCCTTTGCTTCCCCGGACACGCGCTGCCAGGCCGCGGAAGTCATGCCTTGCATGATTCTGAGGTTGATGGGAATAAGGTGATCAGAGTGGTGGAAGCAAGAAACCGCAAAAAGACCGGTACTGCCCAAGCGGAGCCTACTTGCTGCAGCAATAATCCTACTTGCTTCGCGCAGCGACTTGCCAAGTCGGATTGCTAAGCCACCGCCCCAAAACTTCTTATGAATGCAAGAGGTTCACAGCCATGACTACTTTGACCGATTTCTACTATCACTCTCATCTATGGTCTTCCAAGCGGCTGTAACTGGCGGTTCGGATCTGCTCCTGATGCCACAATGCAATGCCCCACCAGAAGTGAAAGCATGCTGCAAGCAAACCCATGCTTGCGGAGTCGTGGCCATTTCAGGTCATAGAAGTATGCTACATACTGCCCGCGACACCTCTGCTTAGACAATCTCCCGCAGCCTCCAATGGCATTGCTTTGCCATCAAAGGGATAGCGGCCGCCCAGCATCACGAAGAGTACAGCTCCGAGACTGCAAGCAGGGACAATGCTCGAGCTCCCCTTAGAAGCATCTTTCTTACCCTGCAGAGCATTTCCCTCATCCCTCTCATAATGAGAATATTCTACTTTCTGTAGTACCATAGTACTATGAAAGGGGGGTGTCGGTATTAGTGAGAGGGATGACTCTGACGTTCAGGCCTCCAAAAGTCAGCTGCTTGGGTGTAGACGCCGCCCCCTCTCTGCACATTCAGGACCTGATTCCAGGGGCCCTTCCATTCTCCATCTTTGCCCTTTAGGGCTCTCGTGTCCTGATCCCTGTTAAGAGTCTCTTCATAAGGATCTGCTGTTTGAGGGGTATGTTTGTCAGACCCTACCTGGAGACATAGCAAATTGAAAGCCATAAGTTGGGTGCTGCGCCTCAGGCGCCCAGTATTGGGGTGTGCCCACGAAGGTCTTCGCGAAGGACGAGCCCTGGCAGGGCCCTATTCTTAAGCAGAATCAGAAGCAGCACGGGAAAAGATAAGACTGCCAAGTAATCACTGCCCATCAGTACCCAGGCGGTCTTCGGGGCTTGAAGACGCAGATCTGTGCGATGGAACTTGCATTTCCTGTCCTCATTGATGATCTTCGAAAGGCCGAAATCAGCTATCTTCACTTCGCGCAATGTCCCTGTCCTGGAACGAGATCCGAGCACAGACGTCACTTTCTCAACAGCGGAGTTCATCATAAATAAAGGCCCTTGACTGCAAGGCCCTAGAAAAGGGACCTAATTTATTGGGAGTTCTGTACCTTTGGGGAGGCCCCTGCACTCTTGAAAGCGCTCCGGGGGCGCTACAGTGGCGGCGGCAACTCCCTGCAAGAGCCAATGAGGATATTCTCTGGCCTCGTCGCACATAATCCGTCCATGCACCAAGGAAGCACTAAGACGATTAAGCGAGTGACCAATACAAAATCTGACCTTCTGTAGCTTATCGCTAGCATAGAGTCACTTGGGAGTGAGTCGAAACCCCATGCCCGATCGCCCGCGCGGACAAGCCTCTGTTATGTGCCCTTGATCGTCTATAAAGGACTTAGAATGCTCGTGCTGCTGGAGGGCTTGTCGCGCTGGCCAAGCGCCCCTGTTACATACCCCTTGTAACCGGGGCATGTCTGTGTGGGCCCTGGCCTTGTTACAAGCCTTTGGTTTTGACCCGCTCCCACTTGCTTGAAGTGTTGCCACACATGTGGTATTGTTGTTGCTCTTCATGCGGGATCTCTCAGGAGCAAGCTTCAAGTCTCGATGGATGACGTTCTTGGAGTGCATGTATCCAACTCCTATGCAGCAGGACGAGATCGGAAGGAATTGACTCCGGGCAAAACGTGGCAGGAGCGCCCTCCAAAAGTTGGCGGAAGATGTACCTAGCCTCAACTTCGTTGAGTGTCCTTGGGATGTGTAACTGGATCATCACAAAGTGCAGAAAAGCAGCCACAATGAGCTTGCTTTTATGCCGGAGCTGGTTGCTGAGGATTCGGCTTGCTACTCACGATCGCGTCAAAAAGCTCGCCACCTCTGACCAGTTCCATAACCTTTCAATTGCAGAGGTGCGGGATGCGGTGAAACAGGGCAAGTAAGACGCTCCAGACTTGAGGTTTCTCGTTTCTCGAATTTAGGGTTCCCTTCTGAGATTTGCAGGAGCTCCTTAAGCCCAGTGGCCAGGAAGACCCATTGCTTCGTCCTGTGTACATCATGCAGGTTGACGATCCTGCCAGCAAAATGGGTTTGGGTTTGCTGCGTATGCGGCAAGCACTGCACATCCAGAAGATGCCGTTTCTAGCAGCTGCCTCAGCCCTTTGCCATGAGCGCCCATTCGAGACTTGTGAACAAACACACACTTGGGGTACTCGTGCCACCACTTATACACACGTGTCGAACGTACTTGATCTCGCAAGTCCTGGGATGATGGAGACCTTGTAGGATCTGCACCTCCCGGTTCATCTTTACCTGGCGGCAGTGAGGCACGAGCTGCGCAGTGCCAAGTTTCAACGCTGGCATCCATGCATAGTTCAATCAATCGTCATTGGTGGGGCAAGTGATGTTCTCTTTTAAGCATCGGGTCAGGTCGCATTCTCTCTCATGCAGTTGGACATGCTGGCGCTCATGCGCCACCGCATTCTTCACATGCTTTACAGATCCTGCTGCATCTGCAGCCGCTGGCATATGCAGCTAAATTCCGCCACAGTCATCTGCAGGGCTGTGAGTTCAAACTAACACTTTGCAGCAGGAGCAGGCGAAGAGTGGCCTTCAAAGCGAGGCTCTGCAACACCATCAATTTTCTCTGCAGGCCTCTGTCTCTCGTCCTTGGCTTCTGCAGGCGGTCTCCACCTGGCTACTGCAACAGCGCCAATTAAAAAGATCACGACATAGGCAGCAATCTGGACGCAGCCCCATCGCGGAACACCAAAGAACATAGGATCTTGCTCGCCCGGTCTTCGATACCACGGTGCGGACAGCAAAGCTGTTCCGAACATGAGCAATATCAAGAAGTGGCTGGGCTCTCTGGACGTTGCCATAACCTCCCGAATTCCAGAGATGTTCAGAAGTTGCTTATTGGAGCCGGGCAACAACACGTGCACGAGGCCCACGGTAAGAAAGTTCAGGAAAGCTGAAACATTGATGTCAGGCACGTAGTCATCGACAGGGTTTCCAAAGATAACGAGTAAAATCAAGGACACCAGTCCAACAATGATTCCTGCACTCAGTGACCGCTCAGAGATATGCGAATAAAGTCCGAGTCCGAATGCGGGCAGTAGCTGCAACAGCATCCCGTTCTGGAACACAATGATGGCGCCCATTTGATCGCTGCTCAGAAACGTGCCCATGAAGAAGGCAACGGTGCAGGTGCACAGTGAGCTCATGAAGCCAGCTCGTACGACGCTGTCAGTGGACATGGAAGGAAAGAGGGTTCCCTGCAATATGTCAATAGACACCACACTTGAGACCCCCATGAGGGCAGAGTCCGCCGTGGACATAATGGCTGCAAGGGCAGAGCAGGTCATCACTGAGACCAAGAAATACTGGAATGGGCCCACAAGCTTCAGCTGTGCAGTGAGCCCTGAGAAAGCCGTAGCGTCTTGATCAACGGCTGGCCAAGCCGGGTCATTGGCGGCCTTGGTCAAACCAATCACGATCCCAGGGGGCTGGGCAATGAATGGAGCCAAGAGCATGGCGCCAATCACGATGCGTAGATCAAAATCGCTCCGTGCTATGTAAGCTCGCTGGAGCATGTGTGGTTGCACTGGTGCAGCAAGCATGTTTATCAAAAAGAAGAGTATGTCACATAGAGTGGATCGCTTCGGAAAGTCATAGAACTCCGGCTTTACCGCTTGTATGCAGCCAGCTGCAACGCAGTCGGAACCAGCACAAGAGGCCGGTGCGTCATACCGGTTTGGCGCCTTTGCCGATACGTCCACCAAGTACGGGCAATCGGCAGGCGCCATCTCTGGCAAAAAGCCCCACTCTGCCCCAAGCAGGAATGGAACTACCAGGAAGGACCCAATCATGACAATGCACTGCACAACGTCCGTGAAGACAACGCTATTCATTCCGCCCAGCATCTCCAAAGCAAAGATCATCACAGCAAAAATCACCATGCTGGCCCATTTGGGAACTGCTTGCATAGTCATCCCCTCCACCATTGCAGCAAAGGAAATCATCTGAGCTGTGATGTACAAAACCATTGGGATGACACCACACACTGCGCAAAGAACTCTCAAGCGCTTGGTGCCAAAGCGGTCGGAGATGAAATCGAAAGGGCTGGTGTAATTGCGGTCCATTGCGAGTCTTCGGAGCCTTTCAGGGAAAGCCCCAGCCCCAAAAGCCTTAGACTGTAGGGATGTGATACAAAGACGAGATAGTATAGAAATACAGAGGAACAAAGTTTCAAAGCATGAAGGCTTCTGGAGAAGCTCTCATGGGGAAATGTCGATCGCTCATGCATGCTCATGCCGTAGGTCTGTCGTGCTATTCAATCTGCCCTGCGGCCTGGGATACAGCAGGAGCATCCCTGCAACAATCACCAGAGTCGCGCCAACCCATCTAAGCGACACGAAGCCCTTCGCAAAGGCCTCATCTGGGATTCCTGTAACAGTGAAGCCTTAGGGCAGCGGAAACATCCAAGACGCCCTTTGGCTCGCGTCCTACCAGTGGCAAAGGAGTTCGTGGTTCTCTTACTTTGCAGTGCTCCGGGTTGATAGCGGTGCATTATCATGCTGAATTCTAGCTTGGCGGCCCGAGTACACGGTAGAGAATGTTGTGAGCATCAGCACAAAGGAGCCATAAGAGCCGCTGAAATGCGCCTTGACCTGGCCAAGATGAAACTGAAAAAGGAGATCAGGCAGGGAGCACGTCTACTTGCTTAGTCCTGCGGCACCTTGCCCAGTACCTCGGACGACTTCTGCCTTCTCGAGTTGGCCAGCTTTGCAATACCAATAAGAAGCGCGATGTAGACGCCCACCACAACCTAAGATGAAATGAGAGGGCTAGAAGCACAGAACCTTAGCCTGCTACTAGTCTCAGGCCATCTCACTCCTGCCACCTCAAGCAAGAAACTAACAAAAGTCCAAGCAGCATAGAGAATTGTGTTGTCGTCTTGCGTCGCCTTCCGGCATGCGCTGCTATGAGCTGAACAAGGTCAGGCATGTCTCTACTTCGAGAGGATGCAAATAAACTTCTAGATCACGGCCCTTCTCGCTACCTGTTCCGCGAACGCCATCGCGTGTGGGCGCGGGCAGGGCAGCCAGAAGCCGATGCTGGAGTCTAGAATCCAGCTGAGTGCCTCTCCCTGAGCCCAAACGCCTGAGAAAACACTGCCACTGGCGAATCTTTATTTCTATTACTATTACTATATTGGTATTGCAATTACTATTAATCCTCACAGAGCTACCCTGGGCACGCACCTAAGCGTGACTGGAGGGCAAGGTGACTTTCATAGTCACCCATGAGCATGAGCTTGGCGAGGTTGATGACCTGCCCCCAACTGAGCTATAGTCTTAACTGTTTAAATATTCATTGGGGTTTTATAGGGGATTAAGGGGAGTATCAAAGGGGTGAAACTGGCGATTATATCGGGTAGTATTCTAGGGGCTTTTATAGGGATTAAGGGGAGTATTATTGGGGATGATATAGGGGAGTATTATTGGGGTTTATTCACGGGGATACCAGGAGCTTGGACTATAACTCAACTGGGAAAAACAGGAGGTCTCGAAAATGGGGTACCCGCACCAAGGCCCGAAATACGGGGATACATGTGATCGCTTCCCCCCAATACTACACGACGTCCCCGCCTCTCCCCCTGATCTCCCCCCTTGAGGGTTTAGGGTTTAGGGTTTAGGGCCCGCAACAATTACGTAAATGTGAGAAGGGCGTATTTATTGAACGAATTAGATAGGGCTGGCGGGCTGCCTTTTGAAATCCTTGCGGAAAATCAACAAATCCATGAATTCATTGCCGTAAATCAACAGTTCAACATAAAATCAATTGAGACTATTTGCTTAACTAACCAATTGTGTATAATTGATAATACCAGAACCCCCCTAATTCATTATTAGGTGGCTCCTGTTTAAACGGTCTTGCCCTTGTAAACGTGCTCTTCAGATTTTTTACGGCCCCTGATGTTGTTTTTCATAAATATTCTGGGTGTGTTAAATATTAGGGGAAGGGATTACATGTTGTCGCCCCCAATCCAGAAGCCAGAAGTGAAGGACCTTGACCGCCAGCTCTTCGCCAGTTCGCAGCCGCCGGCAAACATAGACCTGACAGGCAGAGCTAGGGAATTAGGATTGTAAATGATACTGATGCTGTAAACTTCTGCTGCCGCTGCGTGCCACTACGAGCACCCTCTTGTCCGTTATACAGGGGATTATATAGGGGACTACTATAGGGCCAGTTGGGGGGGATACTGGGAATTTAGACTATGGCTCGCGTACTGCTGCTGCCCACAGTGGCAGTGGGGGAAATGGTGTTCTCGTCATTGCATCATATCCTGTACTCACAGCAAGTTGCACAACAATGAAAAGGGCCGCCAAGGATCTTCCCACGTTTTATTCAAGACTTTCAATGTAGCCACAGACCTTCCCTGAGATGACGTACCTTACTTACGCTGCTTTACCTATCCTGCTACACCCATCACACAGGATGTGAAAAGAGCCTTTCGAACTAAAGCTAGCCCTTTTTTTCATGTTACGCTGAAGTGACCCTTGTAGACAGTACTCAGCTAACGCCATTCAGTGCTTTGAATTAAGGTACCTTCCCAGATAATGCTTACTATTCAACGTCTGAAGTAAACGTGACCCTCCCAGATACTGCTGTGCCGCTACTCGCCATGGCAGCAGGAAGGAGTCTGGAACACAAACAACGAGAACAGCAGCAACACTCACAAGACACCCGAGCGACGAGTTTAATTGGCGGCCTGAGCACTATGCCGTTTTTTGAATTCCGTGGGCCTTCATCTTATTGTTCAGCTAATGTTTGACCTTGGAGCTCACGTTGACTAAATCACATGATCTCGTTCGCTATATTTCATCATAACATTTAAAAGGCACTTCCTGCAAAGGAAAGCATGGCCTTAATCATTCAATGCATAGACCCCGTCTAGTTCCAGGACCGAGATGCAACAACAACGGCGTGCCTACTCTTCTACTCGCTTGCGTAACCAAATGCTTCTGCTCATTGCATCGTCTATCTCATACGTTTAGCAAAACTACCCCCTTCGGTTGTCCCTCTGTGGATTCTGCATACCGGTGAGAGATTTGGGAGGTACAAGCCTTTCAATCCTTGGGTTGCAAGGGTGTTGTTGCCTTTGTGTGCCTTTGCAGATGGCATTTGGCATCCCAACACAGCAAGCTCTGTATAAGGAGTCTATCAGGCTGTCAAGACCTGCAACCGGAATAATCATGGTGATGCTAACCCCCAATGATATTCCAAGATACCGAGCATGTGCACGAAATGCTGGCAGGGCAGCTAACAATAATATGCACTTATTCGAAATGCTATCAAGTACAGTAGTTCCTGCGCAGTGGATGCAGCAGAAGTAATCCGCCAACAAGGGTAAGTAACAACATGCACATGTTCGAAATACTGGCAGGGACTGCATCTTCTGGGCCCTTCAGCATGAGCTGTCCACAGCAAGGGGCAACTGGCAACATGCACTTATTCGAAATGCTGGTCAGATCTGGCGAGGTTACAGTATTACAATACCTGCACACAACATGCAGAATGCCACAACTACCACCACTACCACCGCCACCGCCGTCACTAGCACCACCACGACAGCAGAAATGACGTTGATGACACTAAGATTAACACCCCTCTGCCACTACACTACAATAAAGAAGGTGACTTTTGGCGTCGCCTTTGCAGCAGCACCACTGCCAATCTCCTCGCGCATGCTTCCACAGCTACCGTATTTCCAGCTCATGGGCTTATCGGGTCTGTTGCACATGGGCTGTCCTCTCCCAGCTCCAAGAGATCTGATGGATAGCCAAACTTGCATCCTATCTTGACGACCTGCTCGCAGGTGGGGATTTGGTGGGATACCTTCTTCAAGGTGCCTATCTAGGGAATCTGACATCAAGGGTGTACCCTTTTGAGTTCACCATCTTTGGGGAGATGTGTTGGAGCCGTTGTTGGGATTTGATAGTAAGAGCTGGGATCCTGGGGCTTAAGAACTTTGCTTCAGCAATTGCTGTGCCTCATTCTCGGTGCCATCATCCGACCTTATTACGGCCGGCTAAGAGCAGCGCAATATGTGCCCAACAGCAGTTGTTGCAGGCATTTTTTGGAAATGGCAGGCATGATACCGATGACAGAATGGCAGTCCTCGCAACTTTCACCAAAAAGGTAATCACAATAACAATCACGAAGCAAACGTGCCAGCAAAAGCCGTCATGGTTTCGATTGGCTGCAGCATCAAAGCGGCTGCAAACTTTTGTTTCCCTGAGGGCGCTGCACAACAACTGACCGACCTTCCATGCATCAAACTCTGCTAGGAGGTCAATTAAGTGGTCTTGCCAGGCCAGGACCTAAAAAATCTGCTATCAGTGCTGGAGAGGTCTGTTGGGTGCAAGGTGTGAAGGTCTCAACAGCTGTCTGAAACCTGAAGAGCTGACTGCGGCTGAAGCATGTGGTTGTTGACTACGCTGAAAGACCGAGGACTCAAACAGTCGGTCTTGAGCAAACCGATTTCATGGGCTTCTGCAGCTCGCTCAGCGTTTTGTCATAAGCCAGAGAACACAGTAAGAACAAGAAAAGAAGCCCCTTTGCTCACCAATCACCGAGGTGACACGAGAAATCAGAAGATCCCGCTTGCAGCTTGCTCTTCATAAGAGGGAAAAGCACCCATCTGTTAGCTTCGCTTGCTGTCCAGAAGAAAGAAGACTCTTTCTCCGTATTCTTTTTTCATAGATCACGAGGTTCGCTTTCTCTGTGATGGCCAGAGAAAAGCACTGACTTTTAAAAACGCTCAATCAAAGTAGTTTCTGTTCTGCTTGATTGATTGATTGATTGATCGATCGATTGATCGATTGAGCGCCTATGGGTTACGAGAACCTTTGCTCGACAAGGCACCAGTGGCTGCACTTATGGTTGCAGTTCCGCCCTCATAGCGAACCCGCATGTGTCAGGTACCTTGGGGCTTCTGTCCGAAACCCCAGGGTAGAACCTCGTCCTGGGAAATCTTTGGAAAGCCCTCACAAGACTTGAAAGAGCAGCCTCAGCGAAGGCAAAGCACAACGCAACCTAGCACACAAATGGTTGGCTGGATCCTCAGAGCGCGAATCCGGAGGAAGATATCCTTTCAGCTACTGGCTTTATGAAGCTAGTTTTCAGGTTGCTGGCTGGTTTTCAACTGCTGCAGACAGTGGAAGCATGCGGAAGCCTTTTTTCACATTTGACTGTCTTGTAAGACATGCTTTGCGATGTTCTGCAGAAAGACGATGTTGTTCTTCTCATCAAAAACCACTGTAAACATGTCAGGACCTTTGAATAAGCCTAACTTGCGCTCTTTTGCCGCATGCCTTTGGCAAGCGCTCCTCCCGCACCTTCGGCGCCGAGAGGGCGGAGTCTTGCAGGTGAGACCCAACTACGATAGGCACGGCGAGCACCTGGAGAAGGACAAGACATGACCGGTGGGCTCTCCGGGATTCTGCGGCCAGGCCCACTGGGAGCCGGCTTGAGGAGGCTCAGGAATGCAGATAGCTTGGATACGACGGCCTGAGCAAGTTGAAGAAGAATCGAAGGATATCGAAGGTGCGAGGGTCTGCAGCCCAAGACTTGCACTTGCTAAGCTTCCAGCATGAACTGCGTCAGTCGTGGAGTCGAGACTCCATCAGTTCGACCGGCCCATACATCTGGCCACGTCAGTTCGCGGAATGGGCCCGGGTGGGCAGCCAAGCCACCTCAGCCACTTGGGAGAAGCAAGGCCAAGAGGTTGAGTGATTCTCTTAGCAAGGGGCCAGCCATCCCAGGATCCATGGGCATAAATGCGTGGAGATCAGGATCTGCCTGCTACAGATGTAGCTGAGGATTGTTCCGCGACTGCATTCAGCCCGCCTCGTGGACCGCGCGCACTTCGGCAGATGTCATGCGCTCATCTGGCCTCCCGATGCAAGAAAATCGAATCTAGCGGCCCATCGAACCAAGCAAGCAGGCTCAATCAGGAAACTCAGACGTTGCTGCAACAGTCGCTTGTAAGACTTTAACATGCTTCAATATGAGGATGTTCTTGCCTAGGCTACAGTGGAGTTTCAGCCCTGAATTCAAGGCGCTAGGCCGCTACACTGCCGACCCGCGATGAGTGGCCTTGAGAGGCCTCATAAAGAGTCATCTAGGTCCAAACGTGCGGTTATGCTATATCACACGATGCTGCAGAGGCACATGAAATGCAAGAGCTCTGAGGGGTGTTGCAGAGGAGTAGGAGGAGGCTCCTGCGAGCAAATGTTTTCAAACATTCGGTGAGATGACGACAATCCATGCCTTGGAGACAGGGATGAAGCTGGACATGCGCGGAGTGAACTCTGAGAGGACAGCCTGACAGTCCAGGGAGGCGCTAAGAATGAAGAGTGCCATGCGAAAGCATCTCAAATTCTGCCTGCAAAGCTTGCTTCTCAGCCTCAATATTGCTTGTCTGCTGCAAATTCGCTAGAAGGTGCAGGCATTTCTCTGCGTTTCCAGCCGACAGGCTGCGATGGCTCCTTGCAGAAGCCGCCGCAATTCGCTCAAAAACGCACGCCTCGCATTAGGTAAGGCCCATGCCATCGAGAGGAAGGTGCCATCCTGGGCAAAGCCTGGGGCCGGTCCTCTCAGCTTTGAAGCAGGTTCAGTTTACTGCACAGTAAATCCAGCCATGTTGCCTTGTCCCCGTGAAGTAGCCATGAGCTCCTGACAGGACTCTCACATCTTCAGGCTTGGGTCAGCAGCTCTCTGCCTGTCAGGCACGAAGTCCAGGAGATCGTCAGAAACCTCATGGCAGGTGATATCTTTCATAGCTTCTTTTTTTGCTCTCCAAAAATGAAACTGCACTGAGTTCGTCTCAGCGTAACTTGTCTCGCTCTGCGCTGAAGGCCTGAGCAGGCGGTCGCAGGCGGTCTAAAGACTGGCTTGACCAGGATGCAATCATCTCCTCAGGCTGACACTTTCGTCGGAGCGCGCCAGGGGAAAACCTAGCACAATGCGAGCATCAGTCGTGCGAGATCATGCGAGCCTCGACATGCAACTACTTAAGTTTAAAGAGGCAACAAATCTAACCGAGGCACCG